CATGAATTGAGTGGATTATGTCAAAGGGGTTTCGTTTATTTTGTTTTATTCACAAAAGAGAGATTTGTTCTTCAGTGGATTTCGTGGAATTTGGGCTTGAAGCTTGGTGAATTTAGGAGTGGCTCATCATCATGGATTCGACATTGGCGTTGTGATTCAACGTTGGGCAAGACAATTCCAAGATGAAGACGGTAGTGGAAGAGGGATATAGGGGTCGGTTCAATTTGGACGTGGATTCACTAAGTAATTGAGAGTACACTTGTGTAATTTCTTTTTGTCTTCTTAGTGGATTGTTTTGTGGCTTTTGCCCGTGATTTTTTTTATCACAATTGGAGGCGCTCCAATTGTGATTTTTTCACGTTAAATCGTTGTGTTGATTTGTCTTTAATTGTTTGATTGGAATTGCTATTTAAAATTAATACATAATCACAAATAAACATCTCGGGGATTTTTAGATTTTTTAGTTGTTTTTGTCCAGTCAAAAAAATAAAATAAAAATGCTAGCATCTTGGTAGATAAAGTTACTCATAGGTTATTTCAAAACATATAATTAATCATATGTGTGTAATTAAAACTAAACCCCAACCTTTAAAAAAGAGAAGCAAATTGAAGAAAATAAACATTAGTACCCACATGAATTAAAAAGACATCATTTTAAAAATGATAAACTGTATATTTTTAATTAATTCCATTTTCAATTTAATGGTGTGTTTTCTGTATGTATTCTTTTCATTTTCCTTCCTGAGCTTATGTTATAGATAAAGTTTTATAGAAGCAGTGTTATTATTCTAAAAAATAAATAAATCAATGCAATTAGTTACTGATCCATAGATGATATAAATTGTTAACCATTATCATTTCACGCAAGACCCCCTAAGAAAAGAAAAATAAAGTAGGGAAGAGGAAAATTAAAAGACATTTTAAACCTTAGATAGAAAAAACATATATATGCTAGTAAATTTCTTAATATCTATATATATTGCCGATTAACAAGCATTGACACCTCCATGCATGTATATGTCAACTTGTCTGTGCATCCCGCGAGTATCTAATGTTGTATATATATGTTTCGGGTTGTATACGTGTCCATTGTTTCAATAGGTTGAATTATAGCAGATAAATGCACAATTGGTGAATTAAATTCATGAACCAACTGTATGAGATTTTCTTTCTAAAAAAGCCAAACTATAATTAAGGCATTCTTATCTCTACTGTAGCCATTAGGAAATGTGGATTCTTTCTTTTCTTTTATTTTTTGATTTTTGTTTTTCTACTTATTGGTTTATTTGAGCAACTTGACATGTATGTTGAGAGATTACTAACCACATGGTTTTGTTTTGCATGATTTTTTGTTTTTGTTTATTTATTTATTTGATTATTTTTTGGTGGTTTGATTGATAATCAACTGTAAAGCCTAAGGTTGAATTCAAATTAGTCTATTTTTTTTCCCATTAATTGTTGTTGCACTATTAAATTTTCAAAACTTGATCATCTGACAAGAAATAATTACTCAAAATCATAAAAAAACTCATTAGTTTGTTGTTTGTAATTTGTGATTTTAGAATAAATTACAATTTTGTTGATCAAATATGGCCTATGTTCGTGCAAGTCTTTGTTATTTACCTGGTGGGCGTAAAATTAATCCAACACACTCTTGTTAAATTAAAGTTATCCATATAATCGTAGTTTAGGAAATCTTAGCCTATTTACTTGGGAAACTTCTATACTGACTTTAAAACCTTAATACATTTTGGAATTTGATTAAGTAAGAATATGCAATGGTCGACAACGTTTACATTTCCAAATCAAAGGCATATAATTGTATTGAAATTTCCAAAATAAGTTTTCATTGTACAAAACTTGATAGCACATGGTTAATAACACAAAACAATGGAAAAACTAGCTAGTTAGTCTATGTTTACTTTTAGGTAAGCCAAGCAAAATTTTGACGTATATGTATTTGAAAATATTTCCTTTGGTATTAAACATATCTAATTTTTTTTTCCTTTTTCTGTGATCACCAAAAAGAATCTTTATTGATGAAAATTTTAGATTACATAGAGAACAATGATAAAAAACAACACTAAGAGAGGCGGGGTGCAAATGCATCACAACAAAACTTAATCAATTCGAACTAGATTGACATTGACAAGTAAGCCCAATCATCTACTAGCACAACATTGACAAGTTGGCGAGGGACCAATCGAAAAGGGGGAGCAAAAAGCAAAGGGAGAAAATAGAGGCAAAAATCCCTACAAGAATTCGCACTTTTGCCGACTAAAAATTTAGTCGGCAAAAGTTTATTTTTAGTTGGCAAAAGTTATCCGCGACTAATTTTTTTGGTCACCAATTGAGGGTCATGAAAAGTAATTAGCGACTAAAAAGTTTTTTAGTTGGGAAAAAGTTCTAGTTGCCGGCTAAATTTTTGGTTGCTAAATATATAATTACTGCGACTATTCCATTTAGTAGCTAAAACACTTTAGTCACGGAAAGTCATATTTTATCTGCCAAACATGTTAGTCACCAATTATCACATTCGACGACCAAACATGTTAGTGCCAATTGTCACATTCAATGACCAAAAAGTTTGGTCGGCAATTGGCACATTCAACGACCAAATAGTATTGGTTGGCAACTGTCATATTCCACGACCAAAAAGTTTGGTTGGCAATTGTCAGATTCCATAACCAAAAAGTTTGGTTGTCAATTGTCACATTCCACGATCAAAAAGTTTGGTCATCAATTGTCACAATCCATGACCAAAAAGTTTGGCTGTCAATTGTCACATTCCATGACCAAAAAGTTTGGTCACCAATTGTCACATTCCACGACCAAACATGTTAGTCGCCAAAAAAATGTTTGCGCAACTAAAACTTTAGTCAGCAATTGACCAATTGGCGACAAAATTCTTTGTTTGCCAAAATTAATGATTTTAACGACTAAATATTTAGTCGCCAAATGTACCTTCTCACCTACCTTATTTAGTCAGCAAAAGTATTACTTATCTTTCCCGACTACTTACTTGGTCGCCAAAACAGGAAAAACAAAATCAAAATTTGGTTGCCAACATCCAACAAAATAAGCCTATAATTCATAATAGTCCATCAAATCCATTCAATATAATATGTAATTTGCAAGTATCATTCAAATCAACTGAATCATGAACATTTGACAAAATACATAAATCATCCAATCGTGAACCTGTTTAATGAAAGTCAACAACTATTATAAGTTTTCATCCACAAGTAATTCCAAACTACATATTCCTCCAATTAAAAATTCACTTGTAATTTATATAATCATCCAACACTACAACATATAAGAATTTTAGAGACCAAATGGTTTGGTTTCTAAAAGTGAAAATTTTGTTGCAAAAGCCATTTAGGGATCAATTTCTATCATAATGAGGATAGTCGCTAAAAGGTTGTCCCAAAAAGTCAAAAAAAGGATTTTAGCGACAAAATTTGGTCCCAAAAGGATAATAATTCATCACTAATGTCTAATTTTCGTTGTTAAAATTATAATAATGACACTTTTCGCAACAAAAATATTTGGTCTCTAAAAAATAATTTTGGTCCTAAATTTTAGTCTCCAAAACCTTAATTTTTTGTAGTGCAAGTCACATCCATCTAGCATAAAAATTTAAAATATAACAAATACTTGTTACTATGTTTTAAATTTTTATCCATGCGCATCTATCAAAAAATATAACTAGTAGTCCACCCAAATATTTTCCATACACGTCCATCCAAAAATATAACTACTATTCTATCAGAATATGTTCCACCAAAACATCCATTAAAAAATATTTAATTCTTCAAAACATGTAACAAGTGCCAACTAGTCTTGTACAATTCAGGTTCGTGCACAAGTTCATCCATTTGTACCAAATAAAAAGAGAAATAATGTCAGGTGCATTTTTTATGAAAAATATGCATATCAAATGATTGTAAAATTTGACAAAAACTGAAAAATTTCTAATTTCAGTAAAGGTAACATGAACAAATTATTGAACTTTCAATACCAATTTGTAAATAAAACAACAACATTCATGTAGATATATATATATATATATATATATATATATATCCAACCAACATTACAATTCTATCAATATGATCATTTCCAGTGTTGTTTGTCGTCTACTTTTAATACCAACTACATTGGCCTCATCCTCGGAGTTTTTCATCGTGGTCTTTACTCAAATAAGGCTTCTTTTTATTTTTCTCTAAAGAAATGTCTGTTTTTGTTACTATTTCAAGAACTATGTGGGAGGAGGCTAAAGAGCTAGGAAAAGAAGGCACATTCAATAACAACATATCCAAACCTGCACCTCCCTTGGGGATAGAGTCCATGCCCTCTGAATTGCTCGTGCCTTATGTTTCTAAAAATTTGGCAATGACGAATGCAATGGAGGCTCTAAGTGATGACAATATCAACTTCATTGGAATACATGGTATTGAGGGTGTTGGAAAGACAACTTTGGTAAAAGAAATTGGTAAACAAGCAAAATCTGATAAGCTTTTTGACGAAGCTGTGATGGTTATAGTGTCTCAGAACCCGGACATTAAAAATTTAAGATTCAAGATGAAATAGCTGGCATGTTGGGTTTCACCAGATTAATTAATCGACCAAATGCAACTGAACGAACAAGTATGTTGTGTGTAAGACTCAGGGATGTGAAGAAGATCCTTGTTATATTGGACGATGTTTGGGCCAAACTTGATTTGGCAGTCGTGGGCATTCCATTTGGTTGTGATCACAAGGGTTGCAAAATCATAATCACAACATAGCGTGAGTAAGTATACAATTTCATGGGAATGGAAAGGCTGAGGACAAAGATTCTTCATCTTGGTGTTTTATCTGAAAAAGATTCATGGGACTTTGTTCAAAAAGAATGTTGGCAATGTTGTTGACTCGAACAAGTTGAATATCGTGCTACTGAGGTTTGTAAAGAATGTGGAGGTCTGTCTATAGCACTTGTTACGGTTGGAAGTGCAATGAAAGGTAAAGATGACCGTAATTTATGGAACAAAGAAGCTCGAGAATTGAGAAAATCAATGCCAACAAACATTGAAGGTGTTGATCAACAAGTGTACAAAAGTCTTAGGTTGAGTTATGATTACCTGCAAGATGAGGAAGCCAAGGCTTGCTTTTTGCTTTGTTCTCTATTTCCCGTGGATCATAACATCTTAATAGAAGACTTGGTACGATATGGGATGGGGTTGAGGGCATTCAAAAAAGTTGATACAGTGCATGAAGCCAGTGGCAGTGCAAAGTCAGTGACTGACAATCTCATAGCTTCTTGTTTGTTATTAGCTAGTGACAATAAACAAGATTGTATCAAAATGTATGATGTTGTACATGATGTTGCCATAGATATTGGGTCCAAAAAGTGTTTTGTAAGAGATAGTTGCAATTTGAAAGATTGGCCAAATATGGATAGTTTGGATCTATACACTAGCATATCATTGATGAGAAATCAAATTAGTAACCTTCCTGAGGTCTTGGAGTGTCCAAAGCTCCAAATATTACTATTACCAGGCAATGGAAATGCATGGTCATGTTCACATGAATTCTTTTCAAGGATAAATGCGCTTAGTGTTTTTGATTTCTCATTACTAGGATTTTGACAATTCAATTCGTAGTCCTGATGCTTTCAATAACCAAACGTGTCTTCGAACATTAGTTCTTGATAGAATTAAGTTTGGGGACACTAAATTTCTTGGATAGTTAAAGACGCTTGAAGTCCTTAGATTAGGTATTCCTACTAGCTGCTGTACAACAAAGCTACCTTGCTTAGTTAGCTACAACCTTATTTAGTCCTTACATATTAAATCTAATTTTATTTGATCACTATATTAGATTAAAGTATTCAAATTAAATTATTTAATTTGAAACAATAAGAATCAAAGTAAAATTTAAATCAAATTTCAGTAGTTGTAAATTACCTTTAAAATTAATTGATTGATCTGTTAGTGATTGACAAAAAACACGTAAATCAAGAGAAAAGAAAAACTGAAAAAATTACAAAAAATTTAAGAAAGAAAAGATTGTGCCAAAACGTCATTGCATTGTAGATTTTATACCCTTCCACTATGGACTTTTATAACTTTAAGATGTGACTAACTAAGCTTCTATTTTATTCCAAGAAAAACTCTAATGTTGACATAAAGGTTAAAAGCTATCCTCAAACACAAAATTTTGAGAATTTCCAGACACACAAACACACAAAAATAAATAAATAAATAAAATAAAATTCTGATTCAATCATATTCGGTAGTGTAGTGTTAGTTTCCAAACCACACAAACAGGTCACCTTGTGCAAAATTGATCTTGCTACTTTATAAAAAGCTGAGACCAAGCATTGCTCTACCGAAAGGAACTTTTCTCAATAAAACAAAGGGAAGAATCTCATTGAGAATACTATAGGACTATTTATGGGGTTTGTTTGTAGTGCTCTATTCTCATCATGAATCATATTAGGGCCAAGGAAAATCAGAGAAGTCATGAGGCAGAGGTAGAGTAGGAACAAATTAATTTTACAATATTTAGAAATTGTAGTATTTTGATATTTTAATCTTACTATATTTAAAAAAATCAAATATCAAAAACTAATTTACATATAATAAATATAATTAGGGTGGGCAGAAAGGAAAAGAAAACACGTTTCTCACCTGTTATTGTGTTGTATTGTAGTGTAACCAAGGGGATAAGAGATGTGAACAAATCAATGTGAAGAAACTTCCTACTCTTGACATCTCATTATGATTACACTAATTCTTCTTTGTCTTCCCGAAATGAAAAATTTAAACAACTTAAAATTGGGAGTTCCCCACTTCAATTTCAAGGCTAAAATCCACTTCCTACCCTAACTTCAATTCACTAAAGCTTCAATTATTATTATTATTATTATTATTATTATTTATTTATTTATTTTTTCAAGTAGTCCAAAAAAGTGAATAGATAAGGGCGTTGGCCTTTATCATTTTCAATAATCCATGCCACCCATGCCTATACCCATTGCTGGAACTTCCTTTTCATCCTTTGGAAGTTCAATTTGATAAATAATAAAAAAAAGAAAATGATAAACTCAATTTGATGGATTCTAAATCATAGAAATCAAACACTTCAACCAAACCCATTTACGAAATCAACACAAAATTAAACTAAAATATATATATTGAAAAAATCTAGAAATCCCCTAGTGAAAAGCACAATTCGGGTTGGATTCGCATCTAAACACTCATAGCCTCACTGAAATAAAAGTGCGAAAATAAATACAACTGAAAGGAGTTTTGTCAAACGGGATTGCCAAGAATAAAACTTAACATATATATATATATATATAAACCCTAGATGAAATGTGAGAGATGGAGAAATAGGGGAAGGGAGATGGGGGGGAGAGAGAGAGAGAAACTTGTGATTTGTGGCGGTGGCGGTGGCGACGTGCGACAGTGACCAGCGACGGTGGGGTGGTGACCATCAGTGAGCGAGCGTTAGGTTTGGTGGTGAGTGGGTGTCTGTGTGTTTTTGAGACAGAACAGAGACAGAACATATCTGTGTGAAACAAATAGGGGAGGGTGCCAATATTCATACGCTTGCCTCTAAAAAATATTACCTACCTTTAGCAACTAAATTACGATTTGTCAACAAATATAACTCAATAACGACAAAATCTTTTGTAGCTATTTTTTAATTTGGCTACTAACTATTGTTTTTGTTGGCAAAATCTAATTATACAATGACTAAATTTTTTTAGTCACTGATGGTTTATATTTCCCCACTAAATTCTGTGGTCGGCAGAGAGTACCCCAATAAATAAGCCAATCTGTTGGCAACTAAAAATTTTTTGGTCGGCAAAAGGATGTGTACGCCGACTAAAACTAGAATTAGTAGCCTAAAATATAGACAAACGCTGACTAAAATTATTCTTGTCGCCTATTTACATTATTTTTGTCGACCAATTTTTTTTTTTTAGTCAACCAATAACTAATATAGGGAGACCAAATCTCAAGTAAGTTTAAGCAGTTAAAGCTTATGACAAAGCCTCAAACAAATTGAAACTATTTTAGTCAGTCAAAGTAGAAATAATTAATGGCATATTGAGACTAGAAAATACTGCCTTCAATTGAAGATGTGTGTAGTAGCACTTCATTTGAAAGGGCAATTTATGAGCAAATTTATTATTGCAAAACCTTGACATAATTTTCACTACAGTTGACATCTATTTTCTAATCATCACCTTAGAAATAAGGAGATCCAATTCATAGCATTAATCATTATGCATTACTAAATAGTGTAACTTAATAAATGGGGTGTTGCAATGGTGGGCTGGTTTTAGCTTTAAAAGATTAGAACATAAAATCTAGAAGGCCATATCTCTGGCAGTTCCATGGTCCATTTGGAAGCATAAGAATGAGATTGTGTTTTTAGGTAAGCAACCTAATATGAATGTGCTTTGTGATCTAATTAAAAATAGATTGGTGGGTTAAAACAACATCTCCAGATTTAAATGTGCTCCATTATAAGTTGGGAATGAAGATTTCCATTACATGATCAATATTTGTAAAATGCTCACATTAACAAATTAATATATTAACTCGAATATAACTAAGCATTAAATCAGAATATATATATATATATATATGGTCACCAATGGGGGAGAATGATATAAATAAGTCTAAGGAACACAAAGTTTGAATCATCTCCAACAATTTATACACAGTTAGAGACCTAGACAACACAAATTTCCCTAAATTCTAATACAAATGCAAATTATAATCTAAAATGTGATTCACACCTGTTAGGTTTTTATTCTTGGCAATTCCATTTGACAAAACTCCTTTCAGTTGTAAGTTTTTTCAACTTTTATTTTAGTGAGGCTATGAGTTTTTAGATGTGAATCCAACCCGAATTGTGCCTATGCAGAGGAGTTTGTGATCTTAATCCTATCATGTTTGCCACTTCGTCGACTATGTCGGGGGTCGTAGTCGAAGTTGTTTGTCTGCTCGAGCGGAGATTGCGACCTTTCAAAAGTTTCACTCGCTTGCAAAAGTATTGGGAGTTGTTTTTCCCGCCCGAGCGGCCATTCTTACGCTTGAGTGTAGATTTGCTCGAGCGACCATTCTTGCACTCGAGCGGAGATCGTGAATCTGTTTTCTATAAATATGTGTTTCAGTCTGATTTCATGGTACGACTGCCAGATCTTCTTTTTGGGTATTAAGATTTTCATCTGGAGCTTCTTTGCTTGTTTCCTTTGATATCTGTGAGAGTTTAATCATGAATTAAGTGGATTATATCAAAGGGTTTGTTTGTTTTGTTTTGTTTTATTCACAAAAGAGAGTGTTGTTTTTCGGTGGATTTTGAGGAATTTAGGCCTGAAGCTTTGGTGGATTTTGGAGTGGCTCGTCGTTGTGGATTCGACATCGACATTGTGAATTCAACGTTGTACAAGACAATTCCGAGGTGAAGACAAATCTGGAAGAGACACATAGAGGTTGGTTCGATTTGGGATGGATTCACTAGGCAATCGAGAGTACACTTGTGTAATTCCTTCATGTCTTCTTGGTGGATTATTTTGTGATTTTTGCCCGTAGTTTTTTTTATCACAATTGGAGGTGCTCCAATTGTGGTTTTTCCACATAAAATTGTTGTGTCAATTTGTTTTAATTGTTTGATTGGGATTGTTATTTGCTATTTAAAATTGATACATAATCACAAATTAATATCTGGGGGATTTTCTAGAATTTTTCAACACCCTATTAACTATATCACTAAAAAAACCCAGAAACTAAGACACAAAATTTAACCAAAATTTGGGTTTTTACTTGCACAATTGGCGATAAGACGATCTTAAATGATGATGATAATGAGGGGAAAGAAACCAGTGGCCTCACCACCCTTTGTAAGGGAGGAGCTACCGATCGAGCTTCTGTGGGTGATGGATCTTAGGTGACGGTGGCTAACAATTAGGTGACTTGGTGCTCTGGTTGCCGGTGACCGTGGCTGTTGGAGCAGTGGTAAGAGAGGGAGGGGAGAGAAGCAGTGGAGAAGGAGAGGGAGAAAGGCGCTAAAGAGAGAGAGAGAGATGCGCTGGTTTGTTTAGAGATTGGTTTGAAACAAAATATATATATATGTGGTCATTTTAGACAATTCGCGACAAAACATATTGGTTGTCAATTAATTTTATAAATCCCTCCAAAATTTGAAATGTCCCCCTCCAAATATTTTAGTTAATTGGCAACTAAATTTTTTTTTAGTCGCTGAAAATAACTTTTTTGGCGACCAAACTTTGTAGCCAAAGATAAAACAAATTTAGTAGCCAAAACTAAAATAAATTTTGGTCATCAAAGATAAAAAAATAAATTTTTATTTATTAATTGGCAACTAAATAATTTTAGTAGCCAAAACAAACTATACAGCGACTATCAAATTTTGTAGTTGCTGAAAATAAATTTTTGGCGACTGCCACTTTTGGTCGCCAAAGATAAAAAGTAAATTTTTGTTTTTCATTCGGCGACTAAAGAATTTTAGTAGCCACAACTAACTATATAGGGACTAAACTATTGTTTAGTCGCTGAAAATAAATTTTTGATAAAAACTAAATTTTTGTTTTTCATTCAGTGACTAA